AAGTAGTATATATTATATAGTAATATATATATATATATATATATATATATATATATTACACATTATATATTACACAAGTTATTGCATATGAAATAACCAATTTAATCTATTCAAAAGTAAATGATTAAATGTATTGAATAATATTTGTTACATGTGAATTTAGTTTTAATTTAGATGAATATAATTTCAATATTATTTTATCAATAATAATATATATATATATAATAATAAATAATCTCATTATAAAGAACAAATTGTATGTTGCAACATATTATATTTCATCAAATTCAAGTATTTTTTTATATAAATTTAAAATTCAATATAATAAAATATAAAACATGCTTTGATTACACTAATGTAACTTTCAAAAAGTTCGCATTAAATGAGCAAACTTTCTTCCATTGGTATAAGAAATTTACAAAAAAAAACAATCATAAAAAACAAAAAAAATTATTAATAATAATCAATTAAATTAATAAAATCATTTAATTGTAATAATTTTAATATTACTTTTCAAGATAAGATTTTAAATTGAATTCATTGAATAAAACTTTGAAAATTAATATTATTTTTAATAAAGTTGTAAGTGTAAATTCTTATATTAAAAATTCTGTTATTTCATTTACAATAAAATAATATAAAATAATTAAATATTTATAATATTTTTTAATACTAAAGTATATTAAAAAAAAAAGTTTAATTAAATGAGAAAATTATTAAATTTTAAGAAAATGGTGAAATATTTAAAATATATTAAGAAAAGAAATGAGGAAATAGAATAGGAGATTCTAATATTAAAGCAATTTTTTTTGTTTGCTATAAGTAAAGATATCAAGATTCAAAATTACGTATTTATTTTCGCAAATTTTCGTTATGAAATATTTCATAATTAATATTATATAAATTATAATAAAATTAAATTAAAGAATAATTACGGAATAGATTTAATTAATTAATAATTAATATATATTTCATGCATGATATTATAAGAAAATAATTTGATGAAAATTATATAGACGGTGATTTAATTGAACCATTATCAAAATGGCATGTTTCCAAGTTATTTTCTTTGTTGCTTTCTTTCTTTACAATGTGTTAATAATTTTGGCAAGAAGTAAAAAGTTATATTCGAATGCAGCACGCACGCGAGCCTAGCACAGTCACACGTTTCATGTTTTTTATCTTAAAGATTTCATAAAATTTAATAATTTAACATCTTCATGTTTGTGTAATATTGAATTTCATAATTAAATAATTATAATTTTTATGTTAAAGATCAATAAAAATGAACGTAAAAATTTTTTTGTTCTGAAGAAGATTATACTTGAAAATATTTAAATTGAAATAGTTATTAACATAATTAATAATAAAATGTTGTCCAAAATTAAATAATTATAAAAAATTAATATATAATTGTTTTCAAAAATGCATAATATCTTTACTCTTTAGAATCAGAAATTTATTAATAAGTTATTTCTGGCTAACTTCCTAGCATTATGCAGCTATGTGTATCTGGCCTCTATCTATGATTTACTAACCTGGAACTAATTTTCTCTCTATTTGGGCACAGCAGGAGCTCGCATCGGTGAGTTAACATTTATTGTTATCCTTTTTTCCATATCTTAATATTTTTCCATACTAATATCGTTCTCTAAATTTGTATAATATTTTATCTAAGACTTTAGAATTGAATTGGATAATCAAATGATATTAATAATTAATGTTTCTTGTTATTAATACAATAAAAAGTTGAGAAAATTTTATTTTATTTATTTTATTATTATTATTCAATTTTATTCAATTTTATAATTAAATACTATATTTATATTTATATAAATATTATATTATATTTATATAATTAAATATTATAATTAATTGTTTAAAAATTCTTTAGGGAAATTCTTCATTTGTAATTTATAACATTAATTCAATGATTCATTTTCTGAAATGTTTATTCAATCTTTTATGAAAAAGGTCAAGATGAATCTATTCACTATTTGCGTGTTGCACATATTTTCTAATTTAAGTTGAAAACATTTCAGAATCGATAATTTTAATGAAAGCTCGTGTCTGCTTACACTTGCATGCATGCAGATCTTTGCACTTTGCACAATTTCAATTTTTAATTATTCTTTTTGGGAAAACTATATTTTTTTTGATCAACTATATCCTAAAGTTTTTTGTAATAGATGAATTGAGAAACTTTTTTTTAAATTAAATTTTTTTTCTATAGGTTATGATATGTCACCATTTATCAGGAGATATGCGAAGTACCTCAATGAAAAGGCTCTTTCCTATAGAACTGTGGCATTTGATTTTTGCAAGGTGAAGAGGGGGTAAGTAATTTTTAATTAATAAAAAACAGATATATTTTGTGTAATTAATAGGAAATAATTTGTAAATAATTAAATAAGTATTAAAGTAATAAATTAGAATAAAATAATTGTTAGTAAGTTATAAGGAAATAATTTTATTTTTTTTTTTTAAATTATATTTCAGAAAGGACGACCGTACTTTGCGTACAATGAATGCCGAGAAATTGTTAAAAACCTTACCAGTACTACAGTCACAATTGGATGCACTATTAGAATTCGATTGTACTGCCAATGATTTAACCAATGGCGTTATTAATATGGCTTTTATGCTTCTCTTTCGAGATTTAATTAGATTGTTTGCATGTTATAATGATGGCATTATTAATTTATTAGGTAAAATATCTATTATTTAATTGTTATTATTATTATGGAAGAAATATTTAATATTTGTTTTGTTGCATTTTAGAAAAATATTTTGATATGAATAAAAAGCAATGTCGCGAGGCTTTGGATCTGTATAAAAAGTTTCTCATAAGAATGGATCGGGTTGGTGAATTTTTAAAAGTTGCCGAAGTAAGTTTTGAAAATAAAAATCGTATAAATTAGAAATCATTTAAAAATTTTTTAAAATTAATTTATATTTTTTTTAGAACGTTGGCATTGATAAAGGAGATATACCTGATCTAACAAGGTAAAAAATATATTTTAATTAAATTCAAATTATAATTCAATATATTTTTGAATTTTATGAAAAAAATATATCTATAGATCAAATTTTAAAAATGGATATTTCTTAGGCTCCTAGTAGTTTATTAGATGCATTGGAACAACATTTAGCTTCGTTAGAAGGAAAGAAAGGTTCTGCAGCAAACACTCCTACGCAGTCTGCAAGGTATGTTGATTATAATTCTTACAAATATCTAAAATCAATAATATTCAAAATAGGATTAAATTTTACTAATTCTAAAGAATATTTTGCGATTTATCTATTAATAATACTTAAAGGTAAAATATAAAACACACATACAAATACACACATATTATACATATTATACATATTAAATAAGACATTTTTATTTGAGAAAGATATTTCACATATAATAATCATGATTAAAAAACAATATTTAGACATATAATGTATATTTAAATATCAATCCTATCTTTTTCCTTTGTTACTATTCTATTATAAATTCAATAACATACAAAAATATAAATCCTATTTATCATCCAATCGTTAATCATACTATTTTCCTCGCAAAATGTTTTGTAAATTTTAAGGTCAAAGGTAATGTTGGCGTTTGTTTTCTATTGCTTGAATTTGTGCTTCTTTTTTCGTTAAAAAGTTTTTTTTCTTCTTCCTTTCTCGCTTTTGTTCTTTATTTTATATTTGCGGGCTAATGATAACTATATTGATATTTCTCGATTTATTATCGCTTTTTATGGTTTCTAGAGATTTTGTTTGAAATCTTCTGCAAAAATTTCACTTAGCTTGTCATCCAAGAGATTATATTTTATCGCTAATATTTTTTTAAATATTTTATCGCTGATTATTGCACATATTTATATTTCCTTTGACTCATCTCTTGGTAATTTATATGATTTTTAACAACTTGCGGCGAAAATAATCAATAAAATTATTTTAATATGATAATATTTTAAATTTCGTTCATGATAAAATTCTGATTAAAATTCAGTATTTCCTGGATAAGTGATCTCTTTTGAGATTTGTTTTAAATCCTGATTAATTGATTAAAAATAAAACTGATTATAAATCAATTTTTGTATATTATTTATTATTCACTTATTCGGAGATTACTGTTTTTTTATGTATAACGAATCATTGAAGCTTATGTAAATAATATAATTTTTGTAATCAATATTTATTTTCAATTGACATATTTTTAAAATAATATCAGTAATTGATGTTAAATTGCAAAACAAAAGCTAGGTGATATTTTCTTGCACATAATTGATCTACATGTATATAAGCGTACGTACCATAGTAAATGAAAAAGTGCGTATTTTTTTTCATTTCATTTATATTATACAACTCATTAGGTAGTATTATTCAACTCAACTTGCTTGTATAAGTTTATTTTAAAACACACGTAGTAAAAAATATATAAAAAAAAACAAGAATTTATGACAAAAAAAGAAGGCTAGCGTTACGCATGTATTATAATTATATATTTACGAGTATATCTGTATGTATATTTGAGTGAAAAAGCACTGTGTAGCTAAATTTTTTACACATCATTATTATCTTTATACGTACTACACTGTTTTTTTGTTTTTTGTTTGTCTTTTCCTTTGTTTTCAATGATCAACGTTCCTTTTCGCTCCTTCGGCCACACTTATCTCTCTGCTGGAAATGGCTTTTCCTCCTTTTTTTCCCTCTAAATCCACCATTCCATCGACACACATCCATCGCCCAATCATTACCTAAGCAGCAATAGAACGAATGTAAAGTCGGGAGTGTCCGCCCTATCTTCCACCAGTACTGCGTTTGGAACAGCAGCTAGTAATAATCGCCTTGACCATACCGGAAATGGACATATCGATGAAGCGCTTCGACAACAAGCTCTTGCGGAAGAGGAGGCTGCTATGAATCAATACAAGGTATTAAAAGATTTATTTTAATATATTATAAAAATAACGCATTTTTCTTTTAAAAAATTATTATTATAAAATATTGATAACATTATTTATATTTTTATATTTTATCATATATACTAGGCAAAAGTGCAATCTCCATCCAGTGGCCCCAGTACGAATCCATTCCTTAGCTCACCGACAAACAATGCCAATCAACCAATTGTAGATTTATTTGGTGCATCATCAACGATAACAAGTAGTGAAAGCCAGGTAACTAAAAATATTTTTATTATAATATTTTTTTTTTTTATAAATTATATTGATGTTTCAGCCACAAAAAGCATCAGATGATCTACTTCAATTAGCAGGAAATCCTTTTGCGGACATGTTTGGAACACCACAACCTACCGCTGTACCGACTACACAAACACAGAATAACATGTGGATGACTAATGGTAACGGTAATAATTATTTTATTTTGTTGTTTTTCTTATTTACTATTATCTAAATTTTTATTTGATCATTATTACATCATAATCATATTTTACGTTATTTCATCGAGATGTTTTTATTTTTTGATTTATAGGTTTTGCTGCAGTGCCTCCAGCAAATAATAATTTTGTTACAGATAATAGTTTCTCTTCTGTATTTGGTAATCAAGATTCTCAATCTGGTGAGTACTTAATTCAACTTTTTTAATTGTTTTATGAAACAAAAATTTGTATTTTTTCATTGTTAAACTATGCACCATATCTTTTTTCTTTACATACATATTCTATGTATATAATACTTATTTCTTTTAATGGTGAATAATTTTTTTGCTTCAGATAGTATATTTTTGTATATTTTTGCATCTTACTAAATAGTATCGATTTATTGATGTCTGTGTAAGTTAATCCTATGAGATAGTTATGACAGTGTGCCAGAAGAATTTAATTAAATTAAATTTTCAGATACAAAATGTAATTTTTTTCTAATTCATTCTCAAAATTTTTATAAAATTTAGGATTAACTTCTCAAATATTACAATATATCATTAATGTCATAAGAAACATCGTTATTTTAATAAGATCTTGGCCAAAAATAACTACACTAATATACAAATAAAATTTATTGCTTATTACAAATTCAAAAATTATATGAGATAACAATAAAATTTAAACTTAATTCCTTATATAAAGTTTTATTTTATATTTTATATAAAATTTAACAAACTTCTTGATCATATGAAAAAATTTTATTATCGTACTAATTTTAAAATTTTGTTGTTATACTCATTTACGCACATGTATTCACATAGTCTTACCGTGCACGTAAATAGTACAAGACACGATGAGTAATAATTAAAAGCATTAAATTATTTATCTTGCGGCAATTAATCAAAGCAATTAAAAAAAAAAATTACGCTAATAATTGATGCACCTTGATTTTTGCGCAAGCTGGTGCTCCAGGAACGGCCGGATCCGTACCAAACCCTTTTATGTCCGACTTCCCTTCCCTTGGTTCCCAGTCAACGCAGTCAAACGCAGCCGCTTTCGGTCTCTTCGAGCAGGGTGCCGCGACCAATGTTGCCGCCAATATGAACGATGGCGATAATCAGCAACAAACACAGACCGGAGACCTGTTCAGTGCTGGCGGCCAGGCAGATCTCTTTGGGAGCGACTCTGCAGTGCTCAAGACCGTGGAGGGTGTCGCTGGGGAAGCCGCAGATACGGCGTCCTCTGTGACTCTAGCCTCCGGTAAGTCCACTGCCACGCCGCCTCCCAGACCGCCGCCTCCCGCGACAGCGATAAATGATACGCCTAGACCAGCTTCTCCAACCGTGTCCGGAGTGGCGGTTGGCAAACTATCTTCTGGAACAACGATTACTACCGCCACCGCTCCAAGTAAGAGCGCGTTTGACGATCTGAACGATAGCATTCGAATGGCACTGGGCGGGTCTCCGTCAAGGCCGGCACCCATAGCTCAACAATTGCCGACCGCGCAACAAGCACAGCAACCTCTTCAACAGGGTTTTGGCATGTTTGATATGGCTACCAATATGGCTGCCACCGGGCAGTCGGTCATGTCTGGCGGACCGATGGTCGGCTACGGTATTCCCACCCAAGTCCCAGCGGGGTACGGTTCCCCGGCAAAACAACCGATCTCAGGTGACGGGAATGTATGGTTCTCTCCCTTGCATGCCAGAGGAATCAGTGATGCTTTTCGATAAGTCTCATGAGCTATGTACCGTTATGCTTATATTTTTTTGATATTTTTTACGATTATTATTCGATTATTCGTATATGATTTTGTTTCTTTTTTTTAATGTAAAAGAAGAAAAGAAAATTCATAAAATTAAAATTATATGAAGGCAAATTAGAATCTTTAATTTTGAAAATTTTTTTTCAGAAGCTCAGAGATATATAGCATCGGTGATTTATGTCATTGTCTTGGAGTAGATCATTCTACTAAATTGTTCATAAATGGTTGATTATTTCATATGAGTAATTCTTATGCCTGCGTGTGTATGAACTGTTTTTAAAAACTTTTGTAATTTATTTATTTTTTTAGAGAATGTAAGGATATCCTTTATATTGTAATTCTTTCATAAGTGATCGTGAAATAGTTAAATAATAAATAATAGTAACATATAAATATTATCCGATATTTAATTAGGAATGCATAATATATTTAGTAGATTATATGAATTTGTTATGATATCTCATTTGAGAAATCTTTTTTTTAATACTTTTAATTTTTTGCAATTGAATGTCAATAAATTTATTTTAGATTATTAGAACTATAATAAATTAAATAATTATATATTATATATTTATTAGTAGATTTATATAAGTACATTATTTTTAGTCAAGATAATTATATATTTATATCGTATATTCATTTAGTAAAAAACATGGTCCTTTTTTTTTATATACAATATTGCTTGAATATATAATCATGAATTGTTATCAATGACTCATGACGCACTTATTATTATTGTATATTATTGCCTATGATCTATTATATTGATAATAATTTAATTATTATTGAAACAGAAAAGTATATTTTTTAATATTTTTTATTTAATTATTACAATATTATTTATTAATCAAATTATTAAAAATTTTACGATCAAAATGATACTAAATATAATAATTCCAATTTATTTTTGAATTATATAGTCATCTCTATCTCATCTATTTCTTCTATTTCTCTTAAATTTATTGTTTCTTAGTCTTATCATTGATGCATGTATGACAAATGATGTATACAACATAATATTCATAGAATATATCAAAAAAATATATATACAATATTGTTTTGAAGTAAACATATTGCTTAAAATCAGCCAGATATTTATATTATTCATTTTGTTTTTGTTTTTAAATAAAATGAGAAAATAAGAAAAATAATCGAAGAATGACTCGAGATATTTTAACATGAATCGATCGATAGCAATGTTATTCTTTAGAAAAGAATAGAATGATATGTAAAGATTTTTCATTTCTCGATTTCACGAAGTTTTTATCATTTTCAAATCTCTTTTATTTTATGATCAAATAATTTCAAATAAAGAATAAAAATATGAATATATTTATTTCGCAACAATATTGTATTTAATTACGTATACATCTTCTATTTTATTCAATATATAATTTACCTCGAGTAATTATAGATAGTTGAATGTTTTATTTTATGTCATTATTTTTATTGAACTTATGCTTTTTTCTATGTCTAGAAATATATTTCTTATTTGTGTTGTTTAATGCGCAATAAAAACGTGCAATTTTGAATTATGCTTTTTTGAGCTTTGGCTAATCTAGATGTTACTTAGGTTTTGATGTTTTGGGTATAATCCTAATACCTACCACTGTAGCTGGAGATAATGATATTTCAGTAGCAGGACAACAACAGAATGCAGTATCTACTGGTAAAGTCCTGACTGGAGATTTGGACAGCAGTCTTGCTAGCCTTGCCCAAAATTTGACCATCAACAAAAGTGCTCAGCAACAAGTCAAGTAAGATCACGATTATTTTTTATTATTATAATAATTACTTTTCTTTGAACATAGAATATTCAATTTGATTTTTATTTGTATAATGATAATTTCTTTTACTTTTTTTAGAGGTATGCAATGGAATTCACCTAAAAATGCTGCCAAAACTGGTGGTCCAGCTGGAGGATGGACACCGCAACCTATGGCAGCTACAACTGGCGCTGGATATCGTCCAATGGTAAGTTCAACAAATATTGATCAACTTTTAAATTATAAGGTCATCAGCACGTTGAACATGATATTGCTATCAGACTATTATGACTCTTAGTATTATAACATAATATTCTTATTTATTTTGATATCGAACTATCAGCATGTTATTTTTAATTGTTAGCGGATTATTATTTAGTATAAATAATTATCTCTATTTTGTAATATAATCGTAATTAATATTATATAATAATATTTTTATAAATTAAGTACAAAAAAAAGATTAATTTTCAACATTTTTATGATCTTTGATTATAATCGTTGCATGCTTGCTTTATCGCTCAATAAGCTTATATATAAACAATAATTATACACTTATTCTTATCTAACAATATTGATATTATTCTTTCTTTGTATGCACTATATTCTGTTATCATATTATATGTTTGATTGTATAATATTGTTTTATATTCAAATGTCATTATCATGATATAAATAAACACTGTTAATAAATAGATGCTAACTTTTTAAAATATAAATTACGAATTCTAAATTATTTTTGAGATAAAATAAATTGTAAAGAATTTTTATAATATTAGTTTAAAAAAAATAGATATTAAAATATAGTGAACATGTGATTATGGATTCATACACTTAGCTGTACAATGCATGTATGGCATATGGCATGCTACCTGTTGTTACAGGGACAAGGAATGACGCAACTTTCTTCAACAACTCTGGGTTTTTCTCCTCATCCTGCACCATTGGTAAGTTCAATTGTTAAGAAATTGTAATGGAACAAATGTATCGCTTAATTTAAAGATTTTATTTTATATATTTTATTGCACATATATAATTGATGTTGTTACTAATTAATTTTCTGTAGAAAAGATTACATTATCAAATAATTATTAGATAATTACAAAGATTAAAAATTATAATCATTGTTTCTATTGTATACCATATCCTTTATATTTTCCTGCTTTGCATTAATTCATATGTGATGCATTTACGTGTTTAATTTAAACTAGTTTCTTAGGAAAAATTTATTTTATATTTTTTCATATGTTATTTAACCATTGTATATGGAATACACTATTATATAATTTTTATTAATATTGCATATGATATTCATATTTGTAAAAATGTAAATATATTAATTTTGTTATTTTAAAATACAAAAATACATAACAAAATCTCAACACAAATTATAGGAATCCAAGTCATGACATATTGAAATATATATTTTCAGAATGGCTGCAATAAACTCCATATATTTTGGTTTAATTTGAGTACAAATGATTATTTGTTGGAAGCATTATTAAAGAAAACATGAAAATATTTGGATTTGAAATAGTAAGAAGTATAAATTATCTGACCAGTTGGATTTCTGGTGTCCTTAGGGAATGCAAAGTGTGCCAATAGGTATGCAAAATATGCAAGGCATAAGACCTATGATGAGCACAATATCTGGTGGTCCTGGTAACATGATGGTCACAGGAGGAACTGCACCAATGATGATGTCTAGTTCAAATTCAATGATGGGTACTAACCTTCAGCATCAATCACAACAGCAACCACAGCAGAATGTTGCGCAACCACAAAATAATCAAGTTCAACTTGATCCGTTTGGTGCCCTATGAACAAATTAGGTATCTATTTGATATTCCCTTGTGAAAAGAGAATTATCAATAATAAAATATGAATTATGATTTTAATTAAGTAAAACATTATTTAATCGAATATTTAAAATACTTATAAATTTTACTTTTTATATTTCTATTTTTTGAATTTTATGAATTTTCAGTTTACAAATGACAGAAAAATGTATTGATTTGGTAATATTATTTTGAAAAATTTTTTCAGAAATAACAAAATTATACATATCAGAATATAATTAACTATCAACATATATTTGTGATTAATATATAATATAGCATGATTATGTATGAGTCTATAAAACGATAGAGGTTTTGATTATAAATATTTAACAATTTCTTAACACATTTTGTTTTAAATAAGATATGTATCTAACAATGCATAATTCGAAGTTTATTTATCAAACTTATTTACTAATGGTAACAATTTTCAATAATAATAATTAATATTACATATCTATATTCGCAAAATGATTGATGACTGATGACTAAAACTTTGTTAGACAATAATTCAATTTTATGATAAAAAGATGCATTATTTGTCTATCCAAATAATAAATGAATACATTATTTAAGTTCTTAGCTAAATAAAACAATTTTATTCGTGAATAACTAAAATACATGAATAATTGGACAAAAATAATAATATAAAAAATAATATTTATAACGGAAAATGTAATGACTTTGTTAAACTTTTATATTTTCATATTAATGATTATTTTTATAGTTTATTCATAAAAAATGATTCTTTTTCTTTTTACAGGAGTTTTTATTGGAACCAAACAAACGAAACAACTTTGTAAATATCATGTAATATGCCTAGGAAATGTGCCCTGCTTGCTCTCATTATTCTATGTCATTTGTAACGAATCGGCACGCGTAAAGAAAAAGAAGAATGTTGAAATTTATCGTTGGATCGTCCTGCAGGAAACGCAACGGTGCCGATAAATTCTTATATATATATATATATATATATATATATATATATATATATTA